ATCATCAAGAAGCAGATCCTGAAGCACCTGTCCCGGTGAGAGCGCCAGCGCGACCCCGGAGCCCGCCCGCCCGCCCTTTGCCCTTCCGACCCCGCTCCCTTGGGCCGAACTTGGGGTCCAGGCCTCCCGCTCTTCCCACTCGCCAGCCGGGGGCGGCCCCCGCCCAACTCGAGCCCGGACTGTCTCCTCGCTCCCGCCGACCCCGACCGTTGTCACCACTCTGTGCTTCCCGGGCCCTCGGGGACGGGGCGCTCCCGCCCCTCTCCTCCACCCCAACACCCCCTCTCAGATCTGGGGATCTCCTGGCCTGTTGCCCCCCACCTTCAGTTCCCTCCCGTCCCCTTGTGAATCTCCTGAGCCCTCGACCGGCCCTCCGAGGCCCCCACGGGTCCCACCCTCTGCTGCCCGGGCCCTCTCCCTGCCTCTGCACCCGACCCCGGGCCCCTGGGTTCCGGCCGGCCCTTCCTTGTACAGCTCGTGATCTGGTCATTTCCAACCTCTCCGTTTTCCGGGGATAACCGGAATCCCTTCATACCCCATTTTCCGCCCGGCTTTCCAACTCGGACGCTGGTGTTCTCCTTCCCGGGGACCCCCAGCTCCCGCTGGTCTCCGTCGGATTGCGTCACCCCTGAAAAGAGAGTCCCCTACCCAGCCCAGCCCTCGGATGTCCTTTCTCCCATCGCTGCTGCGTTCTCATTGCACAGACTAATTGGAGAAAGGTCATGAGGGGTGGGGATAAAGTTTCAGCGACCTTCCCTTTAAGGCCTGGAGGGGTTTTGACAGCCTGTGAACCGAACCCATGACTACTTGTGCTCTGCAGCCATTTATTAAATGATGTTCTGTCCCGAATCGGTTCGACGGTGGCCAACAAGAACAGCCAAGTAAATTGGGGGTGAGGCGGGATGACGAGTTTTGAGCTGTCATTGACCCCTGTTTCAGGTGACCCCAGATCCCTGTTGCTATGATTGGCATTTGCCAGAAAAAACAGCATTTCACTTGGTCCTCTTGTCCCAGACTGGGGCTGTTGAGTTAGCATGTTTCTCTCTCGGGAAGAGCATGATTCACCAATGATGAGTGCTTTTCAAGAGGTGGGACTAGCGTAGTGGCTATCCAACATGGAGCTACCAGGCCTTGCTTGCCTATCTCCCCGCCTCCTGCCACTGCATTCCCTTTTCTGTCTGACACGCCTGTCTCTTTACTGTTGCTTCGAGAGTAAATAGATTCAGGAACATCTTTTGGTTCATCTCAGTGTGAGAAAAAGCAGGTTGAAGTCTAGAGTTGGAAGGAATGTGCTTTTGAACCCTGTTCCGGGGGTTAATTTCCTGGTGTCCTTGTCTGGGTGGTATTCACCTGGGTATTCCGTGAGGCTAGCCTCTGGAAGGGCTACCGCTTGTGAAATGGAACAGAGAATTTAACTAGAGAAAACTCGATTAATTTGAGCTGACAGAGAATCACAGAATATTAGGGCATTAGGAATGACCTCACCGATCTCAGCCCGGTTATGGAGGCTGGACTCTCCTGCTTCCCGTTCTTGATCTGTAAAATGGGCATAGTCGTCTTACCTAGAGGGTAATTGTGAGGATCGAATGAGCCCGGCATAAAGTAAGTGCTCAATAAAATACGAGCTAATTTCTGGGTTCTAGCTTGTGTGAAAATTAGATGCGAGCCATAGATGTTTGCGTTATAAAAATTCACTTATGCAAACAGGCAATTCCTTCACATAACTTCATGGAGGGGTTTATAAACTTTTAAACCATTGGTTCCCAAACTTCTTTGGCCTACTGCCCCTCTTCAGAAAAACTAACTCTGCTTCCCTGGCAAAACTTTTGTACTGTAGCCTATAAAAATACAAACAAACTCTTTTCTGTCCAATAAAACAGAAACTGCAAAACAAAACAAAACAAACAAACTCACTGCCATCAAGTCAGTCCTGAATCACAGTGGCCTCCTATAGGTTTCCGAGAGTGTAACAGTTTTTTAAAAAAAATCATTTTATTGGGAGCTCATACAGCTCTTAACACAGTACATCCATCCATCAAGACTGTAACTGTTTACGGGAGCAGAAAACCCAGTCTTTTTCTCTCGGAGCACCCGGTGGTTTCCAACCGCTAACCTTGAGGATTTCAGCCCAACGTGTAACCTCTAACGCCACCTAGAATCCAGAATAAAGCGCAGCTTTCTACTTTTGCAGCCCCCGCCCCAGGGGGCAGTGTTGCCCACTTTGAGAAACACTGTTCTAAACCAATGCCTGAGCCCTTTAAGACATTCTTGGAACTAGTTAACCCCTGATCTCATTCAAACATCTGATATAAGACAAAAAATAGAAGCCTGAGAGGGTCAGAGCTTTGTCCAAATCACCTAGAAAAGTAAGGTAGTGGACCAGAACCCCAACTCTTAGCTCCTGGTCTGGTTATCGTCCCTTATTGTGGTAGATGCTGTTGAGTTGATTCTGACTCACAGGGACCCAGTGTGTGCAGAGTGCAAAGAACTGGGCACCATAGTTTCCAAGGTCGTGTCCTTGTGGAAGCAGACCACCAGGCCTGTCTTCTGAGGTGCTTTCTGGACCACCAACCTTTGGCTGCTAGTTGAGGGCTTAACCATTTATATCACCCAGGGACTCCTGTAGTCCACATATATTCTGTGTTATCTAGAGGAAAAAACTAAAAAAAATTGTTTTTTAAAGTTTATATTTTATGTGCTCTAGATGAAGAGGGAGGGTGTTTAAAGAAAGATTTTAACAGAGAAGGGCACACATTCACTGAGCCCTTGATAAAGTATCTTTGTGGGTCAAGTTGGAATCAGTATGACTGACGTAGGGGAGGTTTTTGATGACCTCAGTGTTGAGCCAGTGGTGGAGGAGGGAGAGGAGGAGAAGGACATTGTGTTGTCAGAGCGGCGAGTTAGGGTTCTCGGAAGAGGTGCTAGGCTATGAGTCGGGTTGGGGGGAAAGACTTGGGGAAGCTGCGTAATCGCACATGGGATCTGTGTTGCCGGATGGTCTCTGCCGCGTAGGCGGAACCCTGGCCTGTGGCTTGCCTAACCTGATGGACAGGAGAGAAGGGGTGGTATACCAAGTACAGGATAAATAAGCACTTGTGCTTGGTGATTACCTGTTGTTGATGGTTGCGGTGCCACTGGACCCGGAGGAGAGTGCCCTGCAGCAGGAGGCTATCCAGTGACCTTCATGTTAGGTCTCCCTTTGACCCTGACGGTTCAGGTACGAAAGTGGAGGGCCTCCTCCTTAGTTGTGTGGGACGCAAGGTTTGAGAGAGGGGTTCACATTGCGCTGGCAGAGAACGTGCTGTAGGCCAGGTGCCGATCTGGCCACTGGGGATTCTGCAGAGAACAGATGTAGATGTCTCTTCAGGGCTTGGATGACTGCTGCTAACTGCCAGTAGCTTCACTACACGGTTCTCATTGAAGTAGACCCAGGGGCGACACTTACTTACAAACAGTAAGTAATCATTCATTTTAAAAAAGTAACCACAATTGGTTTTCACTTAAGTGGCTTATTCTTGCTGTAGGTAACTAACTAATGATCTGTCCTTATAGAAGGGAGCTTCAAAAATGTGTGGAAAAAATGTTATTGTCTTTTTTTTTCCCCATGAATTTTTGAAGCCCCCTCATACAAGTGAGAAGAAATCTGACTGATTATAAAGTTAGTAAAAATGCTGTGGTTCATGGCGAGAGCATGCGCTCTGGGGCCAGACAAGGCCAAGTTCCCCTTCTGGGTCCACTCTTAATGAGCAGAGCAGCCCTTCTGAGCCTTAGTTTTCTCATCTGTGAGACAGGAAGAGTAAAATATACCTAGCAGATTTGTTGTGACAGTTGGGCATACAGACTTATTACAGTGCCTGATAGGTGAGTAGGTGTTTAATTAAGAGTAGCTACTTAATATGCAAGGAGCCGAGGTGGCACCGTGGTTAGGATCTCAAGCTGCTCATTGAAGGGCCAGCAGTTTGAACCCATCGCGCGTCTCTGAGGGAGAAAAGACCTGGCAGTTTGCTCCTGTAAAGATTTGCAGCCCAGGGAAGCCCGTGGCGTGGTTGTACCCTGTCCTGTGTGAGGTAGACATTCCACTCCACGCTGGATTGACTCTGGCACAGAACAACTTCGTATAGCCTGGGAAGTGAGGGATACACCACAGTATAGACGGCAGCAACCCAACTGGCGCTTGCAGAGACCCCCCGCGGGAGTCTTCCACGGGTCCTTGAAATGAGAAGCTGAATGATCTGCACCATGGGTAGTTAAAGACGCAAATTTCAGATGGGATTAAGAGGCACGGGAGATGGAGAGGCTGGCTGTTGAGCTCGGTGCCTCCCCTCATTCTACACCACGTGGAAGAGCCGGAACCGTCTTAGATCAGCAGGACCAGTCCGCAGTGTACAATGAGGAGCGTGAGGCTCCGAGAGGCTGACAGGCTTGTCCCTGGCCTGCTTCAGTGTCCCTTAGCTTCCAGGACATGTTCCTTTACACTAAACTTTTCAGCTGAATCTTCCTTGCCCAAAGAATTGGGTTGTGCATTAGAAAATGGCACAAAAATTAGTAACCATGATAATTAGTAATAAAATGGAAAACAATTAGTAATAGGACATTTCTATTAGTAGTAGAAAATCCAGCAATGGTCAAATCTTTTTTTTTTTTTTTGCTGTTGACATTTTTTTTTTCTTTTTTAACATTTTATTAGGGGCTCATACAACGCTGTTGACATTATTTTGTGTTGCCTCAGAATAAAGGGCTTTCATGTATAAGATTTAATTTTAAAAAACCCAAAAAAACAAAACTGTGTTAAGCACCTTACAAGTCTTGTGATGATTTAATCTTTGTGATAACCCGACGAGGTAGGTTTTAGCCCTACCAGTTTTCTAGCTGAAGAACTGAGCCACAGAACGGTTAGTTAAAAAATGTGCCCAAGTTGCAGCTAGAACGCAGCGGATGGAATTGAGATGTGAACAGAAGCACCCTGCTTTGGAGCGATGTCCTTTAACCCCTCGGCTGCCGCACCACTCCTCTCTTGAGTGTCTCTGAGGTGTGG